AGCTAATAGTCACTAAATCATTGTCTCCCTGAAAAGGCAGTAATGAATAGCTCTATGGCATTTTGTGATAACAGAGGTCAAACTGGTTGGACGTGAACTTACTTGCATAACAAAGAGAGCAATTCGTGCAAAACCAGTAACCGACAGGCAGTTATATGTGTCAACCTGACACTCCGTGTTGTAAGCCTACACTGAAAGAACACTCCAGTACCTTTTCTGGTGATATTGGATCTAGAAAAATCTGGGCAAACTCAGGGCTACCACAGGCCTACCTACGCTCACTGGGTCTGACTGGATCAAGCACAAAATCCATCAGCAGCTATTCTCTAGCTTGCTTCCTCTTAAGCGGGGTGCTAATGTCTTGAACACAAGCTTCAGCTAAGTGACAGTCAAGAAAGTGGGTAGAAACCCACTCTACCTCATAAATTCTGGTTGATTTCTTTGTTAATCTGGACAGGTTGGAAGCCAAAAGGAGTCACTGGAAACCCTGTCCTCCAGAAGTAACAAGACTTCATTCAATGGATGATCTGCTTGAAAAGAAAAAGAGCATTTGATCTCATTTCATTACTGATAGAAAGAAATAAGCACAGAAACTCATGGGAATGATGATGCTTGCATATTATAGATTATTCTTAAAAGCTGTAACATAGGGATCACTGGCAAAAAGGAGCAGTAAGCCCTACCTCACATGCAAAGTGTTAGATCTGTTGTCCTACAAAGGAACATGGTAGAGAGAGTCATCACATTTGCAGACCTTTTCTAATGCACCTCGGTGTCATCACTGCATGGCAAAGCATGGTAACATGAGCTACCTTTAAAGCAGGCAAAATGGAAGGCAAACACCAGATACCATTCCCCTCCAGACAGAGAAGCCTTGGTATACATCGTTACTGCAAAATAAGATCTTTGCAGTTCAAAAACTTCCTAGAGGGACACACTCCAAAGGCATAAACAGTCTGGCGGAGGCAAGGTCTATAAATCACTGCCAGTCAGCTTAGAAAAAATGTTGTCATTGCTTCTCTGTGGAGGAGTAAAATGATAAAAGAAATTTCTTTTATGTATGGATGGCTCAACCATAATGCTATTTTAACATAATTTTCTTGTAACCCATCTACACACAGCTATTTAAACATTTGTTATAAAGTATGTATGGGGTGACTCATCCAGCTGAAAAATAAGCCTAATTGGTCAAACTTCCAGGACACTGTGTGCTGAGCTATAGAGAATCATAATCTCATCTATTAGGAGATGTGACAAGTTGCAGAAGCTATCTAAAATTCCTGGAAGAGGTAGTGTGAAATAAGAACCATTGCCTAGGGACAGTCTCTTCTTTACGATAATTAAAGACCTCAGATCTGTGCTATTCTGGATGGATGAAAAATATGCATACATAAGCTTAAATTCTGTCTTTGGCTTGCTCATGCGAGAAGGTTGTCTAATAATTCATTAGCCTCTTCAATAAAAGATACCCAAAAGGCAGAATAAAGGGCATCTGTGGATTTGACTGCCATATTCATGTGGTCACAAAACTTCCCGCAGAGATCCTGCTCTTCCATATAATACAGCTACATGACTCAGAAAAAAAACAAGAACTTGGGGAGAGTTTCCTTATTCCCTGAGAACATTCCCATACCAAATGACCAGAAGTAGAGAGGAAAGAAAAGCACTTCACAGACTGAAACAGAAATGTTAAAACCTCCTCCAGAGAGGTTATTAGTGGGTGGGGAGCACAGTCATAAATATGGAGTCCAGCAGCATTTTTCCACACACACTCATTAATGATATTCACTTTGCCATATTTGTTTGAATTGATGATAATTCTACCATTTGGGTGAAAGATAAAATATTAGACATCTCGCTTTGTATTCTCCAGGATGCCGAAGTAGTGCAGTAGCAGATAGGAGAGGACCTCTTGGCTATTTCTTTGCATTCTCTTACTGTCCTGTCTTTTTCCCCAACATACAGGTACCATGGGCTGAGATGTACTGCTCCTCATACACAGACTAGCAGAGCTGTAGTAGCAAAATGGGTCCCTACAGAAACCCTTGAATTCAAGCATTGCTGTAGACTCACACCAGTTGTACATGCATTTCCCATACAGCTCTCATCTATTTGGATATTATTGGCTCTAAACCAATGGACCATCTACACTTGGATGGACCATTGGCCTTTCCCTCCATCGTTTCCCCTGCAGAAATCAATGCGATGATTTAATTGCTTCTGCCAGTGTATAGCTACCAACAGCCTGGCTCAAGTATAGATGAATACTTTAATTTTAATCAGCATGTTAGCAAGAAGTTGTGGATGGTATTTCCAACGCACCACATACTGGAAGGCTATACAAAGCAACCAGCCAGCAAAAGAAAATATGATGATCTCATCTATATTATCTTTTTTTAAGCTTTTAAAAGTGTAGCCAAACTGAGATAATAAAAGTTATTTACTATGATTTCCTCTTACAAAAAACAAATGTAAAATGATTTCATCAGTACTAGATAATAAGCCTGCTTATAACCAGAGGGCAGTATTTTTAATAACTTCACTAAAAATATGCACTGGTACAAAAATGTGGTGCAATAAGAAAAGAGTACAAAAGGTAATGAAATATTACCTATTATCTCAGCTCATTTTTGTCAGGAAATAATACTACAAACTTAATACGATACATGGAAGCCTTATGAAAAGCAGGCAGGGAGAGGCTTATAGTCTTATCCAGTATTAGACGAGAGGCTGAGTGATTAATAAGTTGACATTGAAGAGCAGAGAATGGAAATCATATGGACATTAGGGAAAGGAAATAGCTTAAAAATGAAACTGTCATGCTGCCAGGCTGCATAGGAAGAGGCACAGCTCCCACAGCCATCCCCACTGCGCAGCATAATGGGAAGGCAGCTTAAACCTCTGTCAGTGCTGTGCACGCCGCTGGAGCCTCCGGCTCCCCCGCGCCTGCTGCTGCGCTGTCCTCGGGCACACATGGGTGAGAGCAATGGGAGAACCACACTGAAAATAGGAAGGGGAGAGGAAAAAATACATCAAAAGGAGAGGTTTGAATGCAACAGCAACTTGGCGGGGTTGAAGAATGGGAAAAATAAGATACTCTGTGGAAAGAGTAGATTAAATGAGATTTATCCGTAGCAGTGGATGAGCTACATATCTAACTTATGGGCCTCCAGCATGCACAGTGTGTAAGGATGAGATGTTCTTGATTGCTTTTTCAAGTAACAGGGCCAGATCTTTTGATGGGATTAAAACTTGGGTCTTACGCTGACTTTAACGCTGTTCAGGGCTGCAAGATTAGGTTTTAAATACCCAGTGAAGCACCGTTACTCACAATATCAACAATAATGCCATTTATTGCAGGTCACAAGCCAACTTCCAGGAGACTACATTTACTGTTGTTTCTCAGGCACATTGTGTCTGGTTCTGATTTGTACGTTGCTCACACTGGAAAACATCTGCTGCAGTTTCCAAGACTGGGGATTTAACTGTGGCTAATTCGCTGTTTACTTTACTAGTGGTACCAACGGAGAGTCACTACTGGTGGCAAATAGGTACTATGCATGCAATAAGATCAGTGAAGAACTCGGTCAAAATCAACAGCATGTATGCCCCTGGGAAGTAATTCAGATCAAAACATGTGGTGTCCACTGGAAAAAAAACCAAAAAGCTATAAACATTTATTCATAGACCTCTTAAGAATAAATTCTGGCTTTAAATATCCTGGATGAAAGCAACAGAATTGCCCTTGTGAAATATATGCTAGTGAATTTCTGGAAAAAACAGAAACAGTGCCATTCTGTAGTGCTTTAGAAGAGAGTAGCTAAACATTTCTCCTTTCAGTAAGTTGAACAAGCCCTATCTTGAAGTTTATCAAGGAAGAATAGTAACAATTTTTCCTGGATTGCATTCCAATTTTAAAAGTGATAGTTTTCTTCTAAATTACTAGAAAATAATTATAATAAACTTTTTTATTTCTTGCAAAACTAAGAACAACTGGGCCAAATGAAAGACTATTCACTTCCTTGAGTCAATTGCTGTTAATTGTTGATGATGATACCCTTTCACAAAAATGTATAAACCCAATCCTAGCTTTTCAAGGAGCAGGACTATAGCTAAGCACTGCCTACTCTCTCTGTTTTCTACTTAAATCATTGATATTTCCTCTGACTTTGGAAATGTGAAATTAGATCTCACATTTTTATCACTCCCATGCTCTCTGGTTTAGGAAAAGCACCATATCTTCTCAATGAAAAGGGAGAAAATACTAGCAGCTACATGCTTCGAGTCTAATTTTAGGAGGAACTGAGCCATTCTAATATGCTGCAGTCAACAGGAACTGAGGGCACTCAATAATTCATGAGTTTCTTTCCATGTTTGAGTAGAGCCTGTTGAAAATTTCTCAAGGAAACATTTTTCATCAGAAAATTCCAATTCCTGTGAACCAAAACTGCTTACAGGACAGAATATGCTGCTTGAATATTTGTGTAACATCTCTTTTTTAATCCAGTTTGAAATGGCTTTTAATCTATAATAATATAATTCTATAATAATAAAATATTTTAAATATGAAAAGCTTTGTTTGACAAGACAAAAGAATTTTTAAAAGGTGAAACAAATTGTTTCAATCAATCTTCACTGTGATTTTTTTATTCTTTTTAAACACAAATGTTTGAGAAGAAAAAAGATTCAAACTTGTTTTACTTTAAATTTGGGCTGTAAAATATTTTCACAACTTTTCCTTGAAAAGGAAAACATTTCTTACTTTAGATCTAGTTATGAAGGTATTTTCATGCCTGTCCTAAAAAAAAAAAAAAAAAAGCTTTATACTCATGCAGATAAACCTCTCTTTGACCCTAGTGCTGAGTGGAGTGTTAAACTTGTTTTGTCTTTACTGTCACTTTGATTCAGTTATTTTAAAATGTGTGGCATTTACATCAGAAGGCAGCAGAATAACCATTTCTTACCTTTAGTCTTTCTGTTACACCATCAGTGAAACTGACTGTGAATTCAGCAATTTTGGGCACTCTGAGTTTTCCTTTGTTCTTCTGGTCAGGCTGATATTCTGTTCTTGTTTTCACAATTACCTGGAATACATCAACACTTCTAAGGTTTCTGCAGACAGCATACATTTTTTTTGTTGTTGTTATCTAAGCTTTTCTGTATAAACCATCCCCTGGACATACACAAGTATCTTAGAACCATAAATTAACACAAACTTATCATACCCTCAGGAACTAAGAGACACAGATAAATAGTCAGGCAGATACACAGACCTAGGACAGTGAGCTTATCACACTGAGTCTTAAATTAGCTGACAGCAAAATGTTTGACACCTACTTTTGTTTAGGACTAGGCATATAATTTTTATATCGTATTCAACAGGCAGAACACGCAGAATAACAGCCCATCCTGAAGAAGACCCTCACTTATTAAAAGCCCCATCCTAACAAGTTCCACTGAAGCCAATTTAAATTTAAATTTGGTGTCTCATTTATTCAGGCTCCAGATTATCAATATTAATCTCATACTATCACCTTGGGTTTTCCCCAGAAGATCTCAGTGTCATTTGCTGACTAATCCAGGTCCTACTAATCTTATAAAAATGAGGTGTCTTACGCCAATGGAGAAGCCGTAAGTGGCTTTTAAAAGGGTATGGTCAAATTACCAAAATTGCATTGTCAATCTACATTGAATTTATTTGTAATCTAGAATGACACTAAATATTTTGGGTAAAACGCACCCACTGCAAACACAGAAAAGGTAACTCGTAATGCCAGCTGCTCCCAGAGGCAACAAGCATCAGGGCTGTACTCTGAAACTAACAGCCCTTCAGAGGACTGAGCGTATCCATCCCATTATACACGAGAATCTTAAAAGACTACCCATCCATGAGCCTATACAGCTAAATAGCTTCGTACCAGCATGCCAGCATAGCCACACTGTCTTAGTCTAGCTGGAAAATGCAAGAGAAGATAAAATGGCCCTGTCTTCAGCACTGGCCAAGAGCTGGAGCTCATCCCACACACTACCACTGCACTTCTGCACAGGATTCCCAACCCCGGGACAAGGTCCACAAAGCATACAATGGTTTGGTGTGGTTTGCAAGGTCTGGATAGGTTAAACACAAAAGGATAGAAAGAACATTGAAACTCTTGATCCCAGGGCCAACGCTTCCACTTTTTGGCCTCCCATTCTGAATTGCAGGACTATGCAGCCATCAGCCTTGCCAAGGTGAAAATTAAATACTCCAGAGGTGGTGACTGGTTCATTTGAGAGTGACAAGAGAGATCCTAAAGTTCTTTGTTAGAAACAAAAAGTCTTGAAGGATTGAAAAAGATTAAGTGATGCACAAGGTTGAGTTACCAGCTAATGCTGAACTTATTTCCAAATGAAGACAGCAAAGTCTGGCTTGGACCAGAGAAAACCCCAGGTATTTAATCCTCCTGCATTTAATGCCATGTGAAAATCAGAGTGAAAGAAAATCAGTGTGGAGTCATAAGCCAATTTTCTGGATTCAAATGCAAATCATTAAAGACTGATGAATATTTACATCCTTCAGTGAATCTCTCTTCATAATATTTATTAAGTAGCATTTGCAACATTAAGACTTGGGAAGAAGAGGGGACAAAAAGCCACCCAAATATATTTATATTAGCATTTTGGAACTGAGGATTTCTGATGACACAACATAGATGATGGGAAATGACATATGGACAAGCTTGATTTGGCGGGTTTGGGATGAACCCTAACCCTACTCTGAACCTACTATTGAATCAAACCCCACTATGCTCTGAAATGCAGTCCAGCACACTGTGGGCCAAACAAAGCAAAGCTCCCTCTCCAGCCAAGACAAACTGGCCCAGGTTAGCTCTGAGTTATGAACAAGCAATAAGCTCATTTTCTCACTCAAAAGGAGGCAAGTGCACTCAGGACTCCATGCAGCTGGCCCCCAGCTTTCCAGTCTCCTTGCTGGCCTTTTGTAAAGCCGGTACAGTAAATTACAGAATGTCACCCATCAACACCTGCCAACCAGTGTTCAGAAATTGCACTTATTCTGTTTTCAAACCTACCAGTCACAATATCCAATTCTCCCAAATTCATGCTTCCTGCTTGATCTAAAATTTAGCTGCAGACAAAATTTTAAAATATACATGAGGGCTTTCCCACAAACTCTAACATTAGGTCTTAATGAAGGACCATGAAGCCAGAATATAAGAAAAAAAAATAAAATAAAGCCTTACTTGTTTCTAGATATAATTTAATTTTCTTCCACTCTTTGTCATTAATGCGTTTTCTTACAGGTATTTTTTAACTGTTGTTATGTTCAACCAATATCCCATAAGCAGGAAAGTTTGGATTATGCTGTCTAGAGGGATACAGCATGAGACTGAAAATAAACCCACACAGCCCTTCACAAGGCATCAGATTCAAGTCGAGTAGCAATGTCTATCACGTCTGTGAATAAATAAGTAACCTCAGTCCCCAGCCAGATCAGAAGCTACTTGAAACCCAATTTGCTGACTGTGCCAGCAGTGAAATGTGTGTGTCCACAGAGCCATAGTCATCCTGCTGGTCAGTGTTTTGCAGAGAAATTTGCAGAGCTATCAAAAAGCTTTAGCAGAGAAGGTAAGAAGGACCTTTGCTAAATGCCTTTTGGCATTGCGAAAGCTAAAGTATCTTTGTCAGACACCTGGTGGAATTACTCAGTAGAAGAAAGACAGGGCAGTCAGTAAGGTCTCCTCTTTAAAGGAGAGCACAGAAATAAAATCATAGAATCATAGAATCATTTAGGTTGGAAAAGACCCTTAAGATCATCGAGTCCAACCTTTAACATAGCACTGCCAAGTCCCCCACTAAATCATGTTCCAAAGTGCCACATCTACACCTCTTTTAAATACCTCTGGAGATGGTGACTCAACCACTTCTCCGGGCAGCCTGTTCCAATGCTTGGTAACCTTTTCAGTGAAGAAATATTTCTTAGTATCCAATCTAAACCTCCCCTGGCACAACTTGAGGCCGTTTTCTCTCATCCTGTCACTTGTTAATTGGGAGAAGAGACCAACAGCCCCCTCACTACAACCTCCTTTCAGGTAGTTGTTTGTAGAGAGCGATAAGGTCTCCCCTCAGCCTCCTTTTCTCCAGGCTAAACAACCCCAGTTCCCTCAGCCGCTCCTCGTAAGACTTGTGCTCCAGACCCTTCACCAGCTTCGTTGCTCTTCTTTGGACACACTCCAGCACCTTAATGCCTTTTTTTGTAGTGAGGGGCCCAAAACTGAACACAGGACTCGAGGTGCAGCCTCACCAGTGCTGAGTACAGGGGGACAGTCACCTCCCTGCTCCTGCTGGCCACACTAGTTCTGATACAAGCCAGGATGCCATCGGTCTTCTTGGCCACCTGGGCACACTGCCGGCTCGTACTCAGCCGGCTGTCGACCAACACCCCCAGGTCCTTTTCTGCCGGGCAGCTTTCCAGCCCCTCTTCCCCAAGCCCGTAGCGTTGCATGGGGTTGCTGTGACCCAAGGCAGGACCCGGCACTTGGCCTTGTTGAACCTCATACAATTGCCCTCGGCCCATCGATCCAGCCTGTCCAGATCCCTCTGTAGAGCCTTCCTACCCTCGAGCAGGCCAACACTCCCGTCCAACTTGGTGTTGTCTGCAAACTTACTGAGGGTGCACTCGATCCCCTCGTCCAGATCATCAATAAAGATATTAGAACTGGCCCCAATACTGAGCTCGGGGAAACACCACTTGTGACCGGCCACCGACTGGATTTAACTCCATTCACCACCACTCTTTGGGCTTGGCCATCCAGACAGTTTTTTACCCAGTGAAGAGTACGCCTGTCCAAGCCACGAGCAGCCAGTTTCTCCAGGAGAATGCTGTCAGAAACGGTGTCAAAGGCTTTACTAAAGTCCAGGTAAACAATATCCACAGCCTTTCCCTCATCCGCTAAGTGGGTCACCTTGTCATAGAAGGAGATCAGGTTAGTCAAGCCTTTCATAAACCCATGCAGACTGGGCCTGATCGCCTGGTTGTCCTGTACATGCCTCGCGATGGCACTCAAGACGATCTGCTCCATAACTTCCCCAGCACCGAGGTCAGACTGACAGGCCTGCAGTTCCCCAGATCCTTCCGGCCCTTCTTGTAGTGTGACAAGATGACAAAGGAAAAACAGAAAGCTGAAAACCCAAAGTGTGGGGGTAGCATTCAATATTTTGGCAGTAACGATAAAAATGCAATTTTGCTGAGGGCATGGGGAGCACATTTAGAAGAAAAGAGCTAGCTCTTGTTCGGTCCCCTACAGTCTAAATAAATAAGACTGAGCATAGATCCCATTTTTGCAGCAACGTTCACCCTCTCTCCATCCAACAAGCTGCCATCAGGACACCCACGCAAAGACTTCTGGAAACTGACTTGTGTTCATCATGCTCCTTGAGCCTCCTGCATGAGTGAGATCGCCCCAGTCAGGGCTACCTTAGCAGTATCCAGAGACAGGAGTGAACACTGTTGGACATTAATACACAGATACACCCCCCCACACACACACAGAGTTTTTAACAGAGCATTTGCCACACTGACAGCCTCCCGTGCATGTGTCAGTTGTGAGTGTCTCCAAAACAAGTTTAAATGAGACCTGGTCAAAACCCAAAAGAACTTTTCTAAAGCACAAAATATTAATTTAAGTGCAAATTTAGAAAAGGAATAATTAATCTTACAAGGAAATTTTTCTGTATTTTTAGTATTATTGGGTTTTTGCTATTTTGGTTGTTTGTTCTGTTTTCATTTTCCAGTTTTCTGATTTGGGTTGGGTGAGAAAGAAGATTTGCCTTTCCCCTGTTCCCTGCCATCACTACTTTTTCACCTTTTCTTTCCATTTTGTCACTGAGAAAAAATTCCTGGCAGTAAAGTCTTTCAGAAATTCTAACCAAATTGCTGTTGGATGTACAGTAATAAAAACCCCACTGACTCCACAATCAGTGCCATAATCAGCATTCATTTATTACCGGCTGCCCCAGAGCAGTTCCATCAGAGCCCAGGATCCCACTGTTTCAACGCAAACAAGGTACATTCATCGCACACCAC